GAGCTCCTCTCTCCCCAACCACCTTGATAAAATCTAGGAGTATTGTCTCAGATATGCTCCCCAGAGCCCAGAAATTCCAAGCTATACCATGTTTAGACACTGCGGACTCTGAAACGCCCATCTTCCTTCAAGTCCAAGGAACAGCTGGGTCATCTCTTTCTCAATGGACAGAAGATCCCTTGCCAAATGTGTAGGAGGAGGCGATCCTGAGCCAATATGCTACCCCACACTTACTCTCCTGAACAAGAAGAACGCATTTGTATTGAGAGATCTATAGTCTCTCCACAAATAGTAACAATAATGATTATGTATTCCTCTGTGCTTTTCAGATTCTGAAGGGCTTTCATATCCATGGTCTCATAGAACTTCATAACCGTGTGTGTGTTGGGAGGGCTTGTAGAGTGGGATTGGCAGTGAGGCAAAGGGCAAGGAACAGATAGTTATTTTTTGCAAAGACCGGAAGTGAGTACAGAGAGGATTTAGATTTCTTCAAGATCATGTAACTAGTAAGAGGTGTGGCAAGGGGCACCTGGGTGGCTCAGTGGGTTGAGCCGCTGCCTTCGGCTCAGGTCATGATCTCGGGGTCCTGGGATCGAGTCCCGCATCGGGCTCTCTGCTCAGCAGGAAGCCTACTTCCCTCTCTCTCTCTCTGCCTGCCTCTCTGTCTACTTGTGATCTCTGTCTGTCAAATAAATAAATAAAATCTTAAAAAAAAAAAAAAAGAGGTGTGGCAAGGGCCTGAATCCAAAGGCCTTCTGGCCCTTAGTACAAAGGGGAATGAAGCAGGACCTTGAAGGCAAGAGGTCCAGGAAATGGTCACAAACCTGGTTCCTCCAATGTACCATGGTGACAATGAGGGATTGAATAGGAGTAGGGCGTCCCCAGGGGGGTAGATAATGGATGAGAGCACGGGGAAAGGATCCCTATTTTGGTGTCATCCTGGCCATGGTCAGGCAAGGGGCCAGATGACATGATTTTTGCTTCTTAAGTGGGTCTTGGGGAAGATCTACATGTCATGCATTGAATATCGCTTCCCTCTATCCGCTGGGGAGTCTGGCACTTGGGAAAATCATAGAATGGACACTCAGTGTCCATTATCTTTGCTTGATTGCTATTTTATAAAAATTAGTCAAGAAATTAGTAGAAATTAATTAGTAGTTAAAATTACTTGCCAGGCAAGTAGGAAAAACAAAACAATAGGAGAGATTTTTTTTTTTTTAATTTACTGAGGGCCTACAGGGGAATGTAAAGATAACTAACTACAGTCCCTACTTTCAAGGAGCTCATCATTCAGTAGTGGTGGAAGAGATGAGGAGAATGAACTTCATAATCGCAGAACTTCTGCTTCTGACGATGACAGAGTAGTATGGGATTTGCTCTCCCACAGTAAACGAAAAAATGTAGACAAAATATTTGAGGAGCTGCTTTAGACACTGAACGTAGGCAATAGAACTAAAATCACTGAGAGAAGGGAAACACATGAGGTGAGCCTTACATCTGCCCAGATTTCTGCTTGGGGGAACTTTCTGGATGGCACTGCAAAAAAGTGGAGTCTAAGAAGTGCATGGTGATGTCATAGAGCTGAAGAGCACAGCTTCAAGTTGAAGGCTGTTGAGGGTGCTGTAATTTGTGGGGAAGGCTATTAGAGTGGAAGGAACTGCCCAGAGAGGTGCCCCCAGAAGTCTGCATGGGGTTCCCCAGGGTCTCTGGATGAGAACTGCATAGGCCCATGAAGAGACTCCATAAGCCTTAGCAGGGAGCAGCTGGGAGCCCAACAAAAAACACTAGAAGTTGCACGTGGCTTAGATAGATGGAGTTTCAGCTCAGTAGAGTGCAGAGACCTCACTGAACAACTCGGGTACTTAGAATCCAGGAAGTCCACACAGCTTAGGAGTAAGGACCATGTTCTAGGGGTGCCTGGGTGGCTCAGTAGGTTAAGCGTCTGCCTTGGGCTCAGGTCATAATCCCAGGGTCCTGGGATCGAGCCCCACGTTGGGCTCCCTGCTCAGTGGAGAGAATGCTTCTCTCTCTACCCTTCCCTCTGCCCGTCCCCCTCCTCCCTCTCTGCCTCTTAAAGAAATAAAATCTTTTTTTTTTTTGAAAAAGGAGCATGTTTGCATTAAAAAATAAAAAAGACTAGACCTGAAAAGGAATAAAACCACGATCAGTTAGATCAAGATCATCTGGCAGTAATTTAAGTGCCTAATGGAACAACACTTCCCTCTCTGAGGGAAGACAACATAAACTCTAAAATGAATAATCTGCAATGGGTACTATGTAATCTAATACTACTATACATATGAAGAAGCAGGAAATTGGGACCCACGGTTTTAAAAAAAGCGATCAAGATAAACAGTCCCTGAGATGAGTCAGAACGAGCAGACAGGCATTTTAAAACCGTGGTTGCAAACATGCTTAAGGACATAAAGGAAAATATACACATAGTAATTGAAGATATGGGGAATATCATGAGAGAAACCGAAACTATAAAAGAGAAGTGAACGGAAATTCTAGAACTTAAAGAAATACAATGTCTGAAAAATTCCCTGGATAGGCATAGCCCCATATGTAAAATAAAGAACTGTAGTTTATTCATTTGAGACTTTAAGAGAGATCAATAGACTAATCTGAAAAACAAAAACAAAAAAAGGATTAAGAAATGGGGCGCCTGGGTTGCTCAGTCAGTTAAGTGTGTGACTTGGGCTCAGGTCATAATCTTGGGCTCCTGGAATCCAGCCCTTTGACAGGCTCTGTGATCAGTAGCAGGTCTGCTTCTCCCTCTTCTTCTGCCCCTGCCCTCACTCGTGCGTGTGCGTGTGTGTGTGCGTGCGCGCACGTGCGCTCTCTCTCAAATAAATAAATGAAATCTTAAAAAAAAATAGTGTCTCAGTAGTCTGTGGGATAATATCTAAGTACTTATAATAGCTTATATAATACACTATATATTATACATACTTATATAGTACTTATCATAACTTATAGAATTATTGCAAGTGTTCAGATAATATCTAAAATGTGTATTGGAGTTTCAGAAGGTAAGGAGAGAGAGAATGGGCATAATAAATATTTGAAGGAATAATGGCTCGAAAGTTCCTATACTTGGTGAAAAATAGGCCACTTAGATATTCAAGACACTCATCAACCCCAAGCAGGATAAATACCAAGAGAAAGTCTCTTTAACTTAGAGTCAAGCTGGTAAAAATAAATAAATAAAATACAATAAAATAATAAAATCCCAAAAAACAAAGATAAAGAGAAAACTCAAAAGCAGGTAGAGACAAACCTGAGAGAGTTTGAGCAACAGAAAAATGGTAGTATTGCATTGTAGCTCACGGAATAAAGTAAATATCTATGAGTTCATACTGATAGAAGTAAGTAATTGAAATTTTAAAATGAGAGGGAAGGGGCAGCTCTTCTTTATTGTCCAACGCCAATTAATAGTGGCAGAAGAAAAAAAGGAAGTTAGAAATCACTATTAGTTAACACCATGTAACTGGTGTTACATGGTGTTAACTAATGGTGCCAGCAGACCTAGGCTGAGCAGACACCTAGGTAACTAGGAGATTGGTTATAATCATGGAATTGAGCAAATATGTGAATATCGAGGCGGAGATGGGACCATGCTGTGTGATCTGGATTTTGTGCCAGGGCAAGGACCACACTGTGGACAAGGCTTCCAGCCCAGGGGCCCTTCATCAGCTGGGGGAAGTATGTGGAGCTGGTGTCTCAAAGCCGGGGTCAGGAAGCCCAGCTGCCCTTTGTGGGCTGGCTCCTCCTCTGTCCCCTTGCAACCTGCTAGCGACACTTCTGCGAATGGGTTCTGCTCCTTGGGTTCATCTAGTGTTTGGGGGGTCTTGGAAGGAAGCACCCATCTCTGCAGAAGGTGGGGCTAGAGAAAGGGGCCGTCAGACAAGTTGACATGGAAGAGATTCCATCTGGGATGTTTGGAAAGATAAGTGTAATTTTCCAGGTGGAAACTTTAGGACGATCTGTCAGACAAAAAGTCCTGGAGTGTTTGGGAATGGGAAGTACATTCCTGCGCTAGGGTGGGAGACGAGGCTGGAAAGCTGAGTCTGGGCCAGTTTTCAGGCATCTTGGTTGTCTCCAGAGAAGGCTTGGGGAAATCCGGGAGCTGGAGAGACTTTCACGCTCTTTGATGCGTGGAAGGTCTTGTTTTTATGGTCATTTGAGCATCGGGGTACCATGGACGGTCTGACCACTGGTGGTCTCCTGCTCGCAGCCCCAGCATTTTGCCTCTTTGAGCCGCCCGAGACTTCTGGTCTGGAGAAGACCCAGACCGAGAGGAAGGATTGGGGGACAGGCAGAGAGTGGGAGGAAGACCTTGGAGGAAAATACGATAAAGCTGCAAAGCCTGTGAGTTTGCGTTTGGAGGCAGTGCCCTGCCTCCTCCTGTGTTAGTGACCGTGTCCTGAAACGTTTACCAGTTACTATGGCCCTTTATGGACATCCTTGCTTACACAAGTTTGAGATGTCTCAAGAGGCTTTCCGGAAAACCAAAATAACCCAAAGAATAACTCGGTGAATACTAAAGGACTAAATCCATGCTTTGGCACCAGCTGTAAGCATTCGAATGGTTTTGTCAAATAAACAAAGTGTTTCAATTCAAGGTACAGAGGGAAAGTGCCCTATCGTTCAGGTGAAAGAGAAAGCCATCTGGGCGTCTCCAGGAGGTGGCACTGGGTCAGGAGAGGGGCCCCAGGTTCCCGGTTTCTCTAAGCATACCAAGTGTCCGGGCGCGCCCACGACCCCCCTCGGGTGTCAGCCTCGCAGGGACTGCGGGTCCAGGAGGATCCCGGCGGGCGGAGGCGAGGCGGGAGGCTGGCGGGGGTGGGGAAGGCGCCGCGGCTTCCCACCGCTCCCTCCCCCGCGCGGGGTCCAGAGGAGCGCGAGAGGGCAGGCAGCGCGAGTCGGCGACCCGCCCCGTGACGTCCCACCCGCGGTGTCCCCTCCCCCCCTCCCGCTGCGGGAAAAGTGGCCGCGGGCGCCGCCGCTCACTGTGGGGCGGGCGGGCGCCGCGGCGGCGGACGAGATGCGGGCGCGGCCGCTGTGGGCGGCGGTGCTGGTGCTGGGGGCGCTGGCGGGCGGCGGCGGCGGAGGTGAGTGAGGCTCCCGCGCGGCGGGGACGCGGCTCCCCGGAGATCCGCGCCGCGCATTCTGCCACAGCCGGAGCTGGCGGACTTGGAGCCGGGCAAGCGGCGGGCCGGCCCCGCGCGTCTGCACTCCGAGTGCGCGGGGCCGGGCGGGGGCCGTCGGAGCCCGCAGCCGGGGACCTTCCTGGCCCCGCGGTGACAGGGGTGAGAGGCCACCTCGGGGCGGGTGCTCCGGGACGCCGAAGCCCTTGGCCGAGTGAGGCCCCCACCCCGGGGCGGCCTGGGGCGCGCGGTGGGGCAGGCGCATCTCCCGGGCGGCGCGCCTCGCAGGTGGTCTGGGGCTTGCGGGTCCGGCTGGCCGCGGTGGGCACCGCGAGCTGCGGCTTCCCGGGGCTGTTCCCGCTGCTCCCGCGCGCAGCCGGAGGGACGTGGGTGTAGCTGCTCGGGTGACAGTGTGCGCGCGCGGGTGTGCCGGCTTCTCGAAATTAGTCTCGCTTTGTGTTACTTTCTCCCAAGTTTTTCTTTTCCTAGTTTTTCTGCGTGGTGGCTCCCCGCGGGAGCGGTTCTGTGCAGGGTGAGGGCTCTGTCTCCTACAGTGTCCCCGGGTGGCAGTGCTGCCTCTGCTTCCGGACAGACCCCACAACCGAAAAACCTCCAGTGTATGCGAAGAGCGACACGGAGGGTCCCTGGAACTGGCTTGGATCCCTCGCTTTGTCTCTCCTGCCGCTGCGCGCACTATGCGAAGACATGGCACTCGGCCTCGTTGGTACTGAGGAGCCGATGGAGGGGCAGAGGCGATTACCGCGCAGGGATGCTGCCCGCGGTTCTTCAGAGCCCTGGTGAAATTCCCAGGAGAACTCTGGCTCCCCTTCCTCTGGGGCTTTCCTCTGCAGAGGACGCACAAGTGTGCACATACATACTTTTAATGAAAAGATTAGTACTCATTGTGATACAATTTAAATCGTGCAGTAGGTATTAAAAAAGTAAGATCTACTGATAAGTCCCTATCCAAGATAGCTATTCAGAAATACTTTGATGACTGCCTTCAAGATCTTGTGTGTGTGTGTGTGAGCGTGTGTCTAAGAGATTCTACAGGGCAAGGCAACAATGTTTTTAAAACACATTTTAATGAGATATGATTGATAAACCAAAAAAATGTATATAGTTAATGTATATGACTTGATGAGTTTGGGGATACATAAACACCCATGAAACCATTACCGCAATCTATGAGTGATTTTTTTGGTGGAGTTACCGATCATATATATATATAGGGGTCTAAGTTGTTTTTGCTGAGGCTTTCCATGTGATAGATGCTCAAGCAAGTCAGCAGATGTCTTCAGCCTATAGTGAGCAGCCTGATGGCCAGAGTGCTGAAACGCACATCTCCAGCACTGAGCCCTAGGAGGAGTTAGAGATGCCTTTCAAAGGCTGCTTGGTGGGGCGCCAGGGTGGCTCAGTGGGTTAAAGCCTCTGCCTTCAGCTCAGGTCATGATCCCAGGATCGAGCCCTTGGCAGGGAGCCTGCTTCTCCTCCTCCCCTCTCTCTGCCTGCCTCTCTGCCTATTTGTGATCTCTGTCTGTCAGATAAATAAATAAAATCTTAAAAAAAAAAAAAGCTGCCTGGTGTCTGTGAGGGCTGTGGAGCTGTCTCCTCCAGATGCCTGCCTCCATGAACGTAAAGCTTGTTGCTTTCCTTTTCACCTCTACAGCTTTCTGAATTTCTGAATGATTTCCGAATCTAATCATTGTATTTTCTTATAGTCTTAGAAGAAAGCAAAGTAACATAAGCTAGAGCCTAGCTTGGTATATGTTTCAATATTAGTGAAGATGAAGAGTCTACTTGTTATTTTGGTGTCTCTCCCTCCACCCCTCACTCCTAGTATTTTTTGTGGATCTGACACAGAGTTGTAATGTTCCATATAGGATCCCACTGCATTGACATACATTAGTTTGCAATATCCTTTGGGGGATCTGTACACAGATTCATCGTTATGATTGGGAGGATTCCAGCTGTAGTGATGGGTTGTACTGAGCTAGACTCAGACTCCTTCTGAGAAGCAGGTGGGAATGCTGTTTCAGAGCTTGGGCTCTAGAGTCAACCTCCAGAGTAAGAAGCTCCCAGTAAGAACAGTTTCGATTATATTTGAATCCCCTCCTTCAGGGTTGGTGGCTGGGTTGCAGGTGTTGTCAGATTGCTGGGGAAACAGGTGGTAGGATGAAAGTAGAAGAGGGGTTATTGGTACACATAGCGTTGAAGGACACAGAGACAGCTGGGTGGTGGCACAGAGAGGTTGTTGCAGAATAGGAGAGTCTGGGATGGGCAGAAGAGAGGTTGTTTGAGAGTAGAACTGAGTTTTGGAATTTATGTACAAAGATGATCTTTTTAGCTTCACCCAAGAGGTATTGAGGTTTGTGACTTCCACCTGTGTAAGTCTGTATTCTAGCCTGAGACCTAAGGGATAACAAGTTTTGTTTGCTGTCACCATCTAAGTTGATTAGTTCTGAGCTGAAGGGCTAATTTCTCCTCCTGAAAACTCTCCAGATGAAGTTCTCTGCCATGGCAGGAAGGCTCGTTGGCTGGGGAAAGGGATAGTTACAATTTAAAGCCAGCCAGCTGTGGGTTTAGTTCTTGATTTTGCCTCTTATTGGCTGTATGGCCTTAGGCAAGTTATTTAATCTCTTGGGACCTCAGTTTCCTCATCTGTAAAGTGGAGAAAACAATACTTTGATGACTGTGATAATTAAATGAGATAAAGGCACAAAATAAGTATCCAGTAAGTGGCACTTTTTATTGCCATTATTCTCATCCATGGTATCTACCATGTATTGGAGACAAGAGCTATTACTGCTTCACACGTGAGTACAACCTGGGCTCACAGAATTTGACCGATGGGGTACCTTTCCCCACACCTATGTGATAGTCCCCCACTGTGGTTTAGCATATCTCTGTCACCTTCACCCTGCAAGAACCCACAGAAGAGACCCAGGAGGAAGAGGCTCATACATTTGCTTTATCAACTAGAAAACCCTAAGTTCTGTCTCCGGGGAAAGAGGAAAGTAAAAGACATTTCGCAAGATTTCAGGTTCTGTGAGGAGAAGGACATGTCTATTTTGTTCGGTGCTCTAAGCCCAGGGGCTGGGACACTGGCAGACAAAAATAAATACCCAGGGAATGCTATGAGAGGGCATCCAGAGGTGATGTGCCTCATTGTCAGAAACCCAGAACTTGGATATCTGCATTCGTTCGCAGAGGATCCGCAAGGGCTCCATCTGGGCATTCTGGAGAATTTTAGAATACAGCTGAGACCATGAATTCTTTGTGCATTTGGATCTCCACACTATGATGCCTTAGACCTCTGTTTTCAGGGGACCTCTGTGAATTGTCTGCTTTTTTCTCCCTCTCTTGGGAGAAGACACACAGGAGAGAAATATTCTTTATGCACCTTAAAACAGTGAGTGGTAGAGGTCTCCTGGGGACAGCATCAGATGGGGCCAGAAGCAACAATGAGGAGGGGGAGAATGGATATGGCTCTGGAATTTCCTAATAGAAATTCCTCCTCTGCAACTCCCCACCCCATTCAGGATCTCTGGTTATCACCCCCTCCCAGCCCTACGAATCCTTCTGCCTCTGTTGGCAGAAATAGCCAGGAAGCATGCCCACAGGAACCACAACTCATGAATCAGCAGACAGATAATTAACTGGGGGAGTGACAGCAGCTTCAGGGATAAACCACTTGGCCTGACCCAGCCCCCTCTGCTGCCCGCAGAGCTGGCCTGCTACTTCACTCCAAGGCCTCCCCTCCTTTCCCCTGAACTCGACCCTTCCCGAAGGTGAAGATCATTGTGCCTGAAGGAACTCAGGTCATGAATGGCAATGCAGGTGGGAGCTGAAAAATGATACAAGTCTTCCTTTCCAGTTTTCAGTCATTTTGTCACAAAAAGACTGGTCTCTCTCTCCCCAGCATTTCTTAGTTCAGTTGGTGAAGACATTCCAACATTCAGGGAGAGAATGAGGTGAGCTTTTTTTTTTTAATATATAAGTCAAGTGCTGGAGAGTGAAATGGCTGGTTCCCCTTTAATTCTGTTCTCCCATCACGTTCACCATTAATCAGATGGGGTATTCTATTCAGACCTTCCTCCTTGTATAGATAATAATCCTCATGTACGTCTCTCTTCCTTTACCTAAACTTGTGTTGTTGTTGTTATTATTTTAACTTAAAAAATCACTTCCTTTCATGCAGGGCAAAAAAACAAAAATCAGGTGTGAAAAGAGCTGCAGGTTGGGAACTGAGAAACGTGTATTCGATGCCCACCTGTGCAGGCTTTTTCATCATTTGGCTGGGTGACTTTGCACAAGCCATCTGCCCCCTGGGCCTTAGGCATTTGGTGTCTCAGGGGCTGCAAAGTAGAAGGAGACGGCGGGAGAGTCTTTGCTTTGTACCTGCTCCTCTCCACCTCCAAGTGGAGAGACGTTTTTCTTTTAAGTAATTCATAACACGGAACTCCATGTAAAGATTTCTTTGTGGAGGGCAGGCGGAAAGGAGGTCTACAGTTAAAAATAGCCTTGAAAAACTTCACACCAGAAGAGAGTTCCAGAAGTTTGGCAGAAGGCATATCCAGTAGCCACTTCAAAAGTCCCCGTAGACAACCATAATCTCTTTGCTAACTGGGATTCTTGGTTCGAGAAACCTGGGCCTATGAGATCCACCTGTGGTTCCAAACCCTGGCTTGAGCCACCACACGAGATCAACTCCTCTAGTTTAAACCTTTTGCTGCCTCAGCAGGTGGCGGCCAGGTTTGGCCACGTGTTCGAGATGGAGGGGAACATGGTGTCTCGGTTCTCGGACTTCTCTAGGTTGAGAACATACCATCCCATGCTCTCTCCTGGGTGGTTCCTGAAGGGAGTGGGCCCACATTTATTCTGGAATTCCCACCAACCTTTGGATTCAAAGAGTCTACAAGATATTGACGTTTCAAGTGTGCCATATTGTAGGAAGCCTGGCG